ATCTCTCTTAGATGTCACGTCCCCTCAAATCCGGGCTAGGTGCCACTCCATTGTGCTCCTGCTGCAGCCCGTTCTTTCCCCAGCATAGCCTCCGTCACTGTACTGAAATTCACCATCTTGTCTTTTTTCCCCACTTGACTGCAAGTTCTATGAGGGTAGATACCCTACCCTTCTCGTCCACCACTGGATCCCTAGCACGAAGCACAATACTGGGCACATAATATATGCTCACTAAGTGTATATTGAATCAACCAACTGAAGAATGAATGAGATGAATATTAATGGCACCAGCATCCCCCTATTCACCTGGCCCAAGACTGGGACATTCTCATCCCCATCTGGTCTGGTGTCGAGTCGCATTAATTCTACCCCCATAGAATAGTCCAGTTCCTCATTACCTCTCTCCTGGACCTTTGGAATAGCTACCTGTGACTTGACAGCTGTCATGTCCAACAGTTCTTCCTTCTTTATTTCGGAAACTGTCATCATTTGCTTTGGGGGAATTACTTCTCCCTTCTTGAAGTCTTGAGGGGACTGTCAGTCAAGGTACTCTCCACCTTTGCCAAGGGGCGAACATGAGATCCAAGCCAAGCCAGGACTTTCACTATTGAATGGAATGGCACAGATACAGAAAACAGTTGAGCTGAGTCATTCCAATCATAGCATCCATGAGAAATTGTTTGTTTGGGGGTAGCCTCACCCAAGTTTAGAACCAAAAGAGAGATAGCTACAGAAGTAGGGCAGAGGGAGATCAGAATATCAGCTTTATTACTGACAAAGTTGTTGGGGATGTCCCTTTCAGTCCGATTGACAAGCGGGTTTACTAATACTGAACCCCCAAATTAATCTTCTCCACCCAGTCTTAGGCAGTGCTGGAAAATTGTAGTCTTTCCTGTGAAGGCCAGACCCTGGGAAGTTTAGAACATTGAGGAAGAGAGCAAAAAACATGGTTCTTGTGGGAGGTGGATCTGAAAGAGAAAGAAGGAGGAAGAGCTGAGTTGAGCTCCATTCCTTCTCCCTAAACTTACCAATCAGGTAAGTCACTCTTCCTCCTCCTCCTCTGGGGTGGATGGATGGATGAGGGGGTGCAGCAGGAAGCAAGAGTATTACTCTAAAAGGGGTCCCTCCACATGGAAAAAAGCTGGAGGAGGAAATAAACATTCCCCTCAGTATTGTGCCCTTGTTCCTGAAATCTATTGTAGATTACCCAAAGCAGCTCTGGCTCCTCTCATTCCTGGGGCTGGGAGTTGTACAGCTGTATCCTCCCAATTAACTTCTTTCTTGCTTAATGTAGCCAGAGTCTGTTTCTGTTGCTTGCACCCCAAGAACATGCATTCATTCCTATTGCTGCTGTTAACAAATTTGGTGCCTTAGAACAACACGAATGTATTATCTTCCAATTATGGAGGTCAGAAGTCCAAAATGGGTCTTATGGGGCTAAAATCAAGGTGTCGGCAGAAACTGTGCTCCTTCTGGAGGCTCTAGGGGAGACTGTTTCCTGCCTTTCCAGCTTCAGAGGCTGCCATCATTCCTTGACTTGTGGTCCCCAGCCAGCAATCACACCACTCTGACCTCTGCTTGTGTCATCACATCTTCTCTGGCTCTCTTGCCTCCCTTTTATCCTTATGAGGACCTTTGTGATTATATTGGGCCCATCCAGATAATCCAGGATAATCTTTCCATCTCAAAATCCTTAACTTAATCACATCTGCAAAGTCTGTTTTGCTGAGTATGGTAAAATGATCATAAATTCCAGGATTAGGATGTGAACGTCTTCGGGGGGCATTATTATTATTATTATTTTTTTTTTGCGGTTCGCGGGCCTCTCACTGCCGCGGCCTCTCCCATTGTGGAGCATAGGCTGCGGACGCCCAGACTCCGCGGCATGTGGGATCTTCCCGGACTGGGGCACGAACCCGTGTCCCCTGCATCGGCAGGACTCTCAACCACTGCACCACCAGGGAAGCCCTGGGGGGCATTATTTTGTCTACCACAAAACACTAACAGAAAGATTTCTTAGCTTGTCTTGCGTTCATTTCTTTCCTCTGCAGTCTGTCCTGCAAGTGATCTTTATAAAATGTGAATCTAGTCATGACGATCCTACCTAAGAAACTTCCTGATTCCCCAAAGCCCATTGAATAAACCCCATAACACACCCGACTCTTGCTCCAAACGTCCTCTCAGCCTGAAATGCTCCCCCACCCCAAAGCCAAATCCTCTGTAACCTTCAAGGTCCCTCTCACAGAAACCTCCATGATCCCTCTGGCTGGAAAGCAACTGCACCATGAGTCCCACATCTGCAGAAACTGTCTTGTCACCTGGCAGTACTGGGTACCAGCCAGTCAGACAGACCTAACTTTCTGTGCCTTTGTTTCCTCTATTTAAAAAATGTAGGGACTTACCACATGGTCCAGTGGTAAAGAATCCGCCTTACAATGCAGGGAACGCAGGTTTGATCCCTGGTCAGGGTAGTAAGATCTCACATGCTGCGGGGCAACTAAGGCTGCTTGCCACAACTACTGAGCTCACGCATCTCAACTAGAGAAGAGAAAACCCACACGCCACAACTAGAGACAAGCCCGCACGCCGCAACGAAAATGTCATGCATGCCACAGCTAAGACCCAACACAGCCAAAAATAAGTAAAATAAATAAATAATAATAAAGAACGCTTTAAAAAAAATTTTTAATTAAAAAATGCAGATAATAAAGTAGTTACCTCATTTATATTTTGTTGTGAGAATTAAATGAGACAATGCATATAAAGTGCTGAGCACAGTTCTGGCACACAGCACCCAATAACAGGTAGATGATAGCAGCTATTATTAAAACTTAATAGTTGGGGGACTTCCCTGCTGGCCCAGTGGATAAGGCTCTGTGCTCCCAATGCAGGGGGCCCAGGTTCGATCCCTGGTCAGGGAACGAGATCCCACACGCATGCCGCAACTAAAGATCTCGCACACCACAACGAAGATCCTGCGTGCTGCAACTAAGACCTGGTGCAGCCAAGTAAATACATAAATAAGTAAATAAAATATGTATATTTTAAATTTAATAGTTGAGTGAATAAATGAATGGAGTACTCTCTCCTTTCCCTGGGCTATCAATATTCCCTTTATGATCCTTAGTATGCCCCCAAACTAGGACATTTAAAAAACTTGAATGAAGGGCTTCCCTGGTGGTGCAGTGGTTGAGAGTCTGCCTGCCGATGCAGGGGACACGGGTTCATGCCCCGGTCTGGGAAGATCCCACATGCCGCAGAGCGGCTGGGCCTGTGAGCCATGGCCGCTGAGCCTGAGCGTCCGGAGCCTGTGCTCCGCAACGGGAGACGCCACAACAGTGAGAGGCCCGCGAACCCAAAAAAAAAAAAAAATAAAAAAAGCCTTAGGTTAATAAACCCGACGTTTTTTGTATTTCTGTGTAATCTTAGCTGCTTTGTCTCCCGGGGGCTCCATGCCTGGTCAGGATCACTGCCGGGAGTGATGGTAGAAGGGAAAGGCTGTTCTTATTCCCTCTTGTCTGGTGCCTCGGGCACATGAAACCTTGATAAACTCTGGTCTTCTTGGACTGAGGTGAATTTGGGGCGCATAGAGGCTTCCACCAGAGAAAATATGCTTGCTCCCCACCCTCACGCCCATGAATCTTGTGCTCTCTAGGGCACCAGCTTGCCATTCTCAGTGTTAATTGTGGCTCTGCTAACTGTGTGACTTTGGGCTGGTCACTGCATAGCTTCCTGAAAAATGGGCATAAAAATCCCTGCATCCTTTAAGGTCAGGAACCTTGTGGAAGTCCAGTGCGGGCATGAGGAATGAATGTTAACTTCTTTTGTGAGGTAAAATAGAAGAGACCAAGCTGAAAAGATAGAAAATTTATTTCCAGGATACAGAAAATGAATTTCGGGACTTCCCTGGCAGTCCAGTAGTTAAGACTCCACACTTCCACTGCAGGGGTCATGGGTTTTGATCCCTGGTCGGGGAATTAAGATCCTGCATGCCACGTGGCACGGCAGGAAAAAAGAAAAAAAGGAAATGAGTTGCAATAAGCCTGTGGGGAAACATAATTGTTTTATAATCACTCTCTGGACTAAAGGTCTTGCCAGGACCTCAGGAGTTGCTTCATGGGGGGTGTGGATGAAACTTTCACACACCAAAAATCTGTCCAAGAGAAGGTCATCTCTTTTGAGAAAAACTACCTTCTCCTGTTTATTACAGAATTCATTATAGAATTTTTTGAAAATATAAATATGCACAAAGAAGGGGAGAAGCTCCTGTAATCACACTATACATAGATCATCACTTGTAACTATCAAACAAATTGGGATTTTGTTGCAACTGTAGTTTTGTATCCCGTTTGGTGAACATTTTCCCATGCAATTAAATATTTTATGCATGGGGGGGGATTACAGTATACAAATTTGTTGCAATTTATTTAACTAAGCTCTTATTGTTGAACATTTAGCATATTGCCTTTGTTTTTTTATTTACTTGTTTTGGACTTTGGGGCTGTTATAAGTGCTTCAATTAGTATCTTTGTGAGACAGATCTTTACGTATATCGTAGATTATGTCCTTTGAATTCCTGGAAGTGGAATTGCTGGACCAAAGGATATTTGATACATATTTGCCAATTTGTCTTCTAAGACTGATTTCACCCATTTGTACTCTCACGGGCAATTTTATAGGACTTCACTGGGGTTGCCGGTGTCACTAACTGTCAAAAGCCAACCCAGAACTCTCAGCCGGGCCTCTAGGATTGCTTCATGTTTTCCCGCCCACTCCGCATACCCGCCGCGCGCCCCACACCCGCGTCCGTGATGGCCCTCCCCTTCCTTACTCCCTTACCGATCCTGTCCAATCAAAAGCAGCCTTCCCCAGTATCGCTGAGTGGTTGGTAAGATGAAGTTTCCGTCGCTCTCAGGGGTGGGCGGAGTGGGCTGACGGACGTGTCGACGGGCCAGTGTGAACGGTGAGTGGGGCGTGCGTGGCGTGCGTGGCGCGCTGGCCTGGAAGCGGTGGACTTGGGAGGACTGCAGGCTGGTTGGGCAGCGAGAGGCTTCGGCCGCCATGGCTCCCAACGTTCCCATGGCCGAACCGGCTAGAGAGTGTCCTGAAGGCATCCGGGCCGTGCTTCTGGGGCCGCCCGGAGCCGGCAAGGGTACCCAGGTGAGTTGCTGAGCCGGGCTTGTCGGCAGAGCCCGTGGGACTCCAAGGTCAGGGCTGCCAGAGGTCTGGGTCGCCCCTGAGCCGGGCCGCTGGCTGAAGCCTGGAGGGGTACCCTGGCTGGAGTCTGGGGTTCTAGCAGGTGTTTGGGGGAGGGTCCACATTGGAGGTCGAGGGAGTCTGAGTTAGAGTTCTTGAGGGACCCAGGCTTGAGGTGCCGTGTTAGGTGATCCTAAGGACTGATTAGATCCCTTAAGGGTTTAGAAGCTGGGAAGATTTGAAGGGTAAGGTGCGCCCTGGGCTGAGGCATGTAGATTACAACCCGAGTGGACGCAGGGACCCCAGATTGCCTGCCATTTGGTAGTGGGTTGTCGAGGGTTACGTTCCAGGCACTCGGGGTAGGGGGACGTTTCTGGTAATGACTAATGCCTGAAGGTGGAGTAGCGTCTCCCACTCATGGGGGAAAGCGGGAGCTGGCCTGTGCTGGTTAGGAGTACTGCTAAGAGAAATGAGGTATGACCTGCCTGAGACAGTTAAGTTGGGGGGATGGGAGAGAGTACCTCAATATACAGGTGAGAAAACAGGGTCAGAGAGGTCAGGCGGCTTTCTCAGGTTAGCAAAATTGACTTCATGGAGCCTGGAACCTCAGGGCTCTGAGTGATTGGGGTCTGAAGTTACCTTCTGCTGACCGTGGGGCCTCACTTGGCACCTGGGACATAATGGGCCCATAGATAAAGGTTGGGATTTATGACCTCACTTAGGATTTTGAAGCCCATAGGTTGGATTATCAATATCCTCCTCCTGCCTGGGGTCTGGCATTGCCCCCCCCACCGCCGTCAAGCTTTTGCTTGCTGTTAGGGTCTAAGGAGGGAATTCCTGAAAGTGTGATCTGCTAAGGGAATGGGGTTCTGGGTGCTGCTCTATGCCCCCTCTTCTCTTCTGAGCCCTTGCAAAGATTGCAAAGTCCTGGCAGACAGATCATTTGTCTTACTCATTCTTGGGGCTCCTGTGACACCCAGCACATTATTTCATGAGGTTACTGGAAATGGATGAACACAGATTCATGTGGGTGATGAGGAGAAGGGGAGTCTTAGAGATTCAGTTCATTCCTGTGACTTTGCTTTTTGGCTGTGTCTACTAGGTGAAGAAAGACCACTTCCCCTTTTCTTTCTATAGCCAGAGCCGATTTGCCCTTGAGGGTCATTGTTACCTAACCCCCTTGTCCTCAGTAACATTGAATGCTCCTCTTTCCTGTTGCTACCACCCTCAGTTATTAGGTAACCTGCGTTTAGGAATGTTTAATCCCAAACTCTACGGACTTTTGCTGAGTGACCGAGATAAACGAGGTAGCTCAAATGCATCAGTTGTTTTTTTCTTAGTTCATATTGAAGTTAATAATTTCAGTAGTTGTGAAATGGACAACCCATCCCTGTGCTGAGACAAGGGCTTTATAGTTTAGCAAGCTTTGTAACTTCTAAGCCTCACTGCTCTCACCTGAAAAATGGGGCTAATACTTAACCTTACTCATTCAACATGTCATGAGCACCGAACATTGGAGACAGCAGTAAAGAAGACTGATAAGGTCCTTGCCCCCCTAGACCAAAAGTTAACAAGGATACTGGAAAATTATGTTATATATGTGTGTAAAGCACACCTAGATGACAACCTGGCACATAGTAGATGTTCACTAATTATTGACTCCCTATCTTAGTAACACATCCCCCCACCCCCCAACTCAGCTGTATCTCGGTGTAAAGGGTAATGTTTTCAGGAAGTTTTGAAGAAAATTATATTATGAGCTGATTTATAAGGGTGTATGTATGATAGGAGTTGGTCAGAGAAGGCCTTGTAGAAGTCGAGGAGATGTGATTAGAGCTGGGACTTAAGGGTAAGATTTACACAAGTCACTTAACCTCTGTACACCTTTCTCTCCATAACTGGAACAATAGGAATACTGGCGGTTGTAGTTTTAATGGAGTTTTAAAGAACAGTGTTCCTAAATCAGAGGTTGCAAAGTGGCAGCCTGCAGCAGAATTTAGCCTGCAGACACACCCCAGCTTTTTATTATGAAGAGTTTGAATACACAAAAGAAGACAGGATTGTGTAATGAGCCCCCATGTACCCATTATCCAGCCCCAGCTACCATCAGCTGGTGGCCATTCCTTCCCCATCCACTCTCCCTTCACAGATTATTTTAGAGCAGCTCCCAGACATTATAACACTTCATTTGTAAATATTTCAATGTGTATTTCTAAAAGACGAATTCTTTTTTGTAAACAAGCACACTATCCCCTAAAAACGATAATAACAGTAAATGTTTACATTTCCATTCATTTGTCTCACAAATATGATCATTTCAAGTCCCTTTTAATTTACAGGTTCCCCCCTTTTTTTTTCCTTGCAGCTTTTTTGTGGAAGTTGTTTATTCTGGGAGTATCCCTCTTTCTGAGAATTTTTTTATTGTATCCCCATGCCATACTTAACATCTTCTTCTTTCTTTCCTGTAAAAAAACAATTAACCAGATCTGGGTTCAATTTTTGACCCAACTACATCACAGGTGGTGGTGTGCTGTCCATTAGGAGGCATACTGTGTCTGCTTATCTCTGGTGTTCAGTGCCTGGGTCCAGGAATTCACTGTGGGTGGCAAAATGGTGATGTTCTACTTATATCATTCCCTTTTCATTTATTAGCTGAAATATTTCTATAAAGAGAAACTTCTCACCTACTATTTGGTATGGTTTGTACAGTAAGGGTAGGTTAAATGCTCGATTTATTCCCATAATTTGTCAGCTTTCAAAATAATAGGTTGACCACACAGTGTTTTCAGTTGTGAAATTTCACTTAAAAATCCAGAGCTCTCGTTTCTCTTGAGAAGTCAGATCTGGTGGTTCTGGGCCTCCGTTCCAGCGGGGCATGCAGTTGCGTGGGGATGCCGCTTTGGGTGGTCCATGTGCTCTCCTGTCCCCTGCATAGCCCTCTTCGCTGCCTGTTGCTTTATTTGACCCACTTTATTTGTGTTGCCTGCCTGGTAAATGCTTGTGATCTTTGATGTAAAATCCTAACCTGGGTTAGTGCCTAGTGCCTGCTCAGTAATGTTTGTTTTCTTCCCACTAGTGCTTCCTTTTATACCTGCATAACTCAGTATTTTAGGTATTTAATGTTGGCATGACTGAAACAATCTGTTTCCTTTTACAACTTTTTATTTTTAACTAAAATAGTTAAACATTTTTAAACTACCTGCTTTTGCATCAACATAATAATGTCTAAAACATCTGGAACACTTGGATTTGTTGTTTTGTTTAAATAACGTTACTTCCCTGTCTCCCTTTTAGGGTTAGATGTTCCTATGGTGTGGCCAAAACGGGTATGTTTTCTGTTTCCTCTGCCAGCCCCTTTCATAGTTTCTTCCATGTGTCCAGCTGACACCAGTTCTTCAAGGCCAGCACACTTAGGCCGTCAGCTGCCGTCTTGCAGGTCAGGCTCTGTCAGTTATGTCAGTGCATTGACGCTCACAGTGCAAAAACAACTCTGTGAGACCCATGCTCTTACTCCCCCTTTTACAGTAGAGAAACTAAAGCTCAAAGAGCTTGTGCTCTAGGTTACAGGGCAAGTAATTGGCTGATCTTGCATCTGAATGACTTCAGAGCTCCTGCTCTTTCTGCTGCTATCTGCTGCCCTGGGTTAGATTTGTCTCCTGCCCTATGCATGTTTTGTTGGATAAGTTCCATGCTAGAGATGCAGGGCAGGCCTTGCCCTCAAGAGGGTTTAATATTGCAAAATAGTCACCCTTTGCTGGGTTACGTGACAGACCCTACCCCCCACAGCCAAAGATGTTACAGGTGTCATCTGATTTAATCCTGCAGCCCTAGGAGGAAGGTCCTGTTGTTATCTTTGCCTTTGCCTGGTAAACTGAGGCCCAGTGTGTATCTTGCCCCAGGACATACATAAAGTAGCAAAGATAGGATTTGAATTCGTGACTGATTCTTGAACAGCATTACCATCTTATCTTTGCTACCAATCTAGGTGTAGGGGCAGAAATGAACGTGCATGCAAGCAGTACTTACTAGTGCAGAGTACCATATGGGAAGTGTGAGATGAGTGACTGACAAATGCTAGGACAGTTCAGGGTTAGAAAAGAACTATAATTTGTTGAGAATCTTCCATTCTTCCTCCTATACACCCAGTGATGTTGGTACTAATATATCCAATTTATAGTGATTAAAGGATCTCTGGCCTGAGGTTACATGGTCAGTTAACAGGCAGAGCTGAAATTCAAACACAGGTTTCTGTGCTTTTAAAAAATGTTTTTTTTTTGTGGTACGTGGGCCTCTCACTGCTGCGGCCTTTCCCGTTGCGGGGCACAGGCTCTGGACGTGCAAGCCTATGGCTCACGGGCCCAGCCGCTCCGCGCCATGTGGGATCTTCCCAGACCGGGGCACGAACCCGTGTCCCCTGCCTCAGCAGGCGGACTCTCAACCACTGCACCACCAGGGAAGCCCTAAAAAACTTTTTTTTTTTTAAACTTTTTAATTGAAGCATAATATAGAGAAAGGTACAGATATCCTAGGTGGGCAGCTTGATGAATTTTCACATGTGAACACACTTGTGTAGCTTATACCCATATGAAGAAACAGAACATTGCCAGCACTGTGAAGGCCTCCTTGTGCTCCCTTCCACACATATACACACACTTCCCCAAGGACAGCCACTAAGGCTCTGGGGGTGGGGGGGAGGTGTTAGTAAAGCCATGTGGTGTCATGGATAAGAGCTAGGGCTCGACAGTCTTGAGGCCAGTTGCCAGATCTGCTGTTACTAGCTTTGTGATCTTGGGCAACTTAGCCTCTGAATTTCATTTGTAAAATGCACATAAAAATAGTTACTACCTAACATTTGTTATGTATTATACATACTAAATACTGTAAAACAATGCATGGAAAAATTGCTTGGCATCTTGCAAACACCCAGTTAACTGATGTTTATATGATTCCTTCTTGGAGGAAGAAAGGGTACTTGGGGAGGGTTTTAGGTGGGAGAGATATGCTCAGAATTTGACTACAGAGGAGGGTAGAGCTTGGACCAGTAGGAGGAAGGGAGAGGGCATTCTTGCATAGAGAGGATCTTGAGCCGAGGACCATGGAGAGGCTTATGTTATGTAATTGGAAAGCATATATAGAGCAGCTGTTTGCCATTGTGCAGGGCATCCTGGTAGGGGACTTGTGGAGGCAAATTTGAGTAGCTTGGGAGGTATAGGAAGTTGGTTGTGGACGATACTGAGTGCTGGACTAAGGTATTGGGACTTCTCCCCTGTTGCCCTGGGGGAACGTTGAGGCTTCTGAATGTATGTTTGTTGGGGGGTGGGTAGTATGTCCAGCAGTATTTTAGGAGATGTTTGCAGCTGCATGTACAGAAGCATTGGAGGTGGAAGTGGGAAAGACAGCAGTAGAAAGATGATTTCAAGGTAAGAAAACAAGTGAGCTTGATTAAATCAAATCTTAAAGACTGACATTTTCCCTTTATTTCCCTAAATGCCAGGCACTATGCTGGATTCTTTTGCGTATATGATTTTGCCAAATCCCCATAACAGCTCTGAAAGTAGACATTGTTGTCTGTACAGTAAGTCCCCTACATACGAATGAGTTCCATTCCGAGAGCGCGTTGGTAAGTCAAATTTGTTCGTAAGTCCAACAAAGTTAGCCTAGGTACCCAACTAACACAATCAGCTGTATAGTACTGTGCTGTAATAGGTTTATAATACTTTTCACACCAGTAATACATAAAAATAAAATAAAGAAGACATTTTTAATCTTCCAGTACAGTACCTTGACAAGTACAGTGGTACAGTCCAACAGCTGGCATACAGGGGCATCGGGTGAACAGGCAAGAAGAGTTACTGGCTGGAGGAGGGAGAGGAGATGGGAGATGGTAGAGCTGAAGGATCGTCAGCTATAGGAGATGGAGGGCAAGCTGCAGTTTCACTCACGCCTGACGTTGATGGCACAGGTTCTGGTTCCTTGCTGGATTCAACTCTATCTACCCTCTTGAAAAAATGATCCAGTGATGTCTGGGCAGTACCTCTTTTTTTCTCGTCATAGATGGTACAGTACCGCTGGATTGCATTCTGAATGGCTGCTGCAACCTTCGTGTACCATTCTACTCTCAGGTGCTGTGCCTCAAAAACTAACAGTGCCTCCTCAAATAAAGAAAATCCCATTGCCATTTCCTGTGTCGTGAATCTCTTCGGTTCTTCAGTTACTTCTTCCTCTTTTCTGTCTTCGTCCTTTCTCTGGGCCTCCAATTCCTGGCACTTCTTAGCAGTACCAGCTACATCACCGCTGCTTTTACACTTGTTTCAGGACATCCTGGGCTAGAAATAAAGATACTATACTTCTGTACTCTTACACAGTACTGTACGGTAAAGTACACAAAAGCGCAGCCACTTGTAGAGGATGCACGCACGTGACAATGTATGCCAGACACGTGAACTTACATGATTGGACATGTGAACGCACGTTTGCATCTTTGAAAGTTTGCAGCTTGAAGGTTCATATGTAGGGACTTACTGTACTCTAGAGATGAAGAAACCAAGGCCTTAAGGCTATATATCTTGTTCAAGGTGACACAGTGAGTAAACTGTAAATCCCGGATCTGAACCACTGTAAAACCCAGTCTTACACCCCTGCCCCAGGGCTTCACAATCTGTGTGCATCAGAATCCCACCATGCTACCCGAAAACCACTCAATCATACATTTCAAGGGCGGGCCTGGCTTTATATTTTTAGCAAGTGCCCCGGATGATTGTGATAATACACTGATGTTTGAGAACACTAACCTCACCATGCTGCCTCCCTAGTGGTTTTAGCCATTCTGAACCACACCCCCTTCCCAAACCACAGGTTTCTCCTACAGATGGGGGGCCTATTTCTTGGGCTCAACAGTAGCCCATGGCTAGTGAGACCCATGTGTCTCGGGGCCTCAGCAGCAGCTGAGTGTGGTCCAGGGGTCAGCAGCACAGCCAGGCCTGGAAGCTGGTTTAAAATGCAGATGCTCAGGGCCCACCCTGTAGAATCAGAATCTGCATTTTAGCAGTACCCTCAGGTGGTTTGGAGTAGGGGAAGCATTCCTCTATAAAAAGTATAAGCGTGAAGTGTAAGGGGAATGAAATACAGCTATTTCATCAGGCTTCTTCTGTAGTTTGCAAGTAAAGAGTAATGCAAAAAAGAAAGACCTTGAAAGGAGGTCTTTTATTTACTGAATGCCCACGGTGTGTCTGATATTTATTTCATTTTATCCTCACAACAGCCCTATGGAGTAGACATTATCCCTATTTGACTGGTAAGGGAACTGAGATTCTGAGAAATTAAGTAACTAGCCAAAGGTCATAAAGCTATTGAGGGCAGCCAGGGCTCATGTGCAAATCTGTCTGACTCCAAATTTCATGCTCTTTGCAGCCCACCCCATTGACTTCTGTGCAGCCAGCAAGAAATGAAGGAGTTAGTCTTCCGCCGTGCCGCGTCTTCCCTCTGGGAGTGTGCTTCCACACAGCCGTAGAATCTAGTCACCTGAAATAGCACAGAAGAGTCCTGTGGTTTAGAGTGGTAAAAATTGGAAGGTTAGGTGCTAACACCTCTTCTCTGGTGTTTTGGTTACTCTTTCCCCTGGAACAAGCCTGACCTCCCAATTTTTCACCCAAGTTAATTTCAGCAACCAAGGAGAAAGATCAGCAGAAAAGCACAGCTCTCTGGGTTTGTGGCCACTGTGCCAGCCCGAAGGACCAGAAGGTTTTCCATCACCAGAGCGTCCTGACCTTCACTGGTTTCCCAAGTGTGGTTTTAAATACCTCATCTGGGTTCCATTTTGCTATGAAGTCAGTTCTCTGAGCTGAATCAGTCCGTGAGTCACAAACCAGCACTGTTGCCCTGAGCCCTATCTGTTTAGCCTTTACCATGTGCACCTAAGAAAGCTCCCAATGAACTGGTTTGAGCAAGGTTCCCACCCTACTTCTTTTCCAAAACAATTGAACCAGAAAGCAAAGTGTTAAGCTCCTTGAACTGATTCTATTCCTCATGAATTCTGCATTCTTTTTTGCCACTACAAAACCAATGTCGGACTCTCAAGGGTCTCTTCTCTTCTAGTCTTCGTTCTGTGGTATAGTCACCAAACTATGAACTCATAGAGGACGGAGTCTGTGTCTCCTATTCATCTGTTTCCCTGGTACCCAGCAAGGTTCTTAGAAGAGGCATCTTCGAAGTATTAGTATTTTCTTTCTGTATGAATGAATATGGAATTAAGACAGGGATTACAGTAACAGCTGATGTTCACTGAGCACTTACAAAGTGCCTGGCCCTGCGTATGTGGAATTCTATATAATCTCATCAACCCAGTGATATAGGTACTATTACCATCTCCATTATACCTAGAGGAAATTTAAAATTTAGAAAAGTGATATAATTCTTCTCAAGTCACATAACCAGCCATTGGTGAACCTGGTGTCTGAAACCCAGGCGTTTGACTCTCAAGCCCATGCTCTTAGCCAAAAGGCTATACTGCTCCCTAAAGCTACTAAGCACTTAATGTTTGCCAGGTGCTCTTCATATATATATCTCATCTGATCCTCACAGCTGCCTTCTGAGACAGAGACTTTTTGCCTTCATTTTAGACAAATGAGAAAACTGAGACTCTTGAGAGGTTAAGTGATTTGGCCCAGATAATGCAGATACCCTAGTGACAGGGAAGGGAAGAACCGAGTCTGCCTGAGGGAGACTTCAGCGCCTGGCTCCAGCTGCCTCCCACACTGGTGACCACAGTACTTGACGGCCACACGTCCATCCCTTTGGCGAATATGCATTCAGCACGTTACATGCCAGGCATTGTGCCAGGTGCTTTATATACATGAACTCTTAAACCTCTGAGCAACCGTGTGAAGTGTTGGTACTGCTGTTCCCGTTTTTCCCATTTATAATGGGGAAACTGAGGCTTATGTGTCACTAGTGTGTCTAGTGGAAGTAGTGATAATAGCTGATATTTATGATGGCTTCCTGTGCCAGGTGCACTGTTTTAAGTGCCTATGTATTATCTCATGTAATTCTTAACTACAACCCTATAGTCATATGTTAGAATATAATGTAAGGTACTTTTATCCCAGTTACAGGTAAGGAAATAGGCATTTGTCAGAGTTCACATAGCCAGTAAGTGGCAGGGCCAGGTTCACACCCAGGCAGTCTAACTCCAAGGCCTGCACTGTTAACCATATCTTGTTTTTTGTCTTCCCCTTCATAGGCACCCAAGTTGGCTGAAAACTTCTGTGTCTGCCATTTGGCTACTGGGGACATGCTGAGAGCCATGGTGGCTTCTGGCTCAGAGCTGGGAAAAAAGCTGAAGGCAACTATGGATGCCGGGAAACTGGTAGGTTTGGTGGTACCAGTGAATGTTGATATTCCTCAGAGTCTAGATCTGCCCTGCTTAATAGGGTGAGCACCAGCTACATGTAACTACTGAAATTAATTTTAATTTAATTTAATTTAAAATTAACTTCCTCAGTTTCACTTGCCACATTTCAAGTTTTTGCTAGCCCGCACAGATATAGAACATTTTAATCATTGTAGAAAGTTCTGTTGGACAGCCCTGTGCTGCGGGGTGTTTTAACAAACTGGCACATTATATGAACTTTTACAGTAGCAAGTTACTTGGTTCATTCTGAATTTATGACACTTATTTTATTCACGGTACTCTTGAAGTTCCTTTGTGCCGGCACATTTTGTAATATACCCAGGTTTTTTTGTTTGTTTGTTTTTTACTTTTTTTTTTTTTTTAAATATCCAGTTTTAAGACCAAGAATGAAACTGCCATCCCTAGGCCAGAACTCAAGGGTGATTCAAGAGAGGACTCAGGAAGTCTCAGAAGTGTTTTTAATCTACTTTTGTGATTCTGTTCTGTGTCTTTAACAGAGAGGTTGCTTGGCAGTTGACAAAAGTAATCCTTCTTATTTGGTGAATATAATAGCATTTCCTCTTGTTTTTAGTCCAGTTGATCTGATTGGAGAAGTACAATTTATTACCTACTAAATGTTTTTTGATTAGTGCCAGAGCTTAATTGTAACTGAGTTATTCTGGGACTTGGCCTTGGGAAGAAGTCATTTTGTGCTTGGCTGTCTGGTCTTTACGTATCTTAGAATGTTGGTTGGGGCGGGTGCTGGGCCTCCCGTCAGGCTTTGAGATTCTGGACCTGGGGTAGCCCTGCCTGTGCGCCCAGCTGCCCCTTTACTTCTAGCTTTCCCTTCATGTTAATGAGGCTGTAAGTCAAGCCATAAAGCTAGATATTTTGGACTTTGGGTCTTGGTGGAAGATCCCGTACTGAGAAAAAATTGGGTTGTGGCAATGAGATTACTTATCTCCAGCCTTCACTTAGTCGCAGAGCTTATACTTTGTCCCCAAGTTCACAGCTGGTCCCAGGAGATAAGAGCATTAGCTACCAAAATGTGCAGCCTTCACTCTAATACTGGCAGGGAACTTTTCTTGCAGTGGAAGCCCAGGAGGAAAACTGGTTTTTGGAAGCTAGGAAGGATCCTTGTTGGGGTTTTTAGAGGGGCTCAGAGGAGTGTTGGGCTGGCTTCTTGGTTCCTTGGTTCTGAACCAGTCTTGCCAAGGTCAGTGAACTTCTCTGTTGCTTCCTGTCCGAGACCGCCTGGGTTGCTTTACTGTTAGCCTAATCAAAATTGTGAAACAGGTAAAGTTGGTGTGCCTTTCTACAATTCTCTCCTAGAGCCCTCCTCAGGTGGTCTCTCAGCCATATGTCCTCACTTGTGTCTTGAAGACAGCTGATTGCTGAGGAGCTGTTATCTGATTGCTAGGACTCTGACTAATGGCCAGAGAGGCCTTCAGGACCTAAGAAATGGGGGTCTTCTGGTGGGGTGATAGGCACTCCTGTTCCCTCACCCAGATTACTGGGACACAGGAGAATCTCAAGGGAAGAGAATGTGTATATGGCAACCACAGAAATAATCATGAAACTGAATCTTCCAAATGGAGCCACTCCATATTTGCTCTGATTTTTGCTTCTTTAGGTCAAGAACCTGTTTAGTAATCAGGTTATACAGACATAAACTTATGACCCTGGAGTTGGGCTAATGCCACCTAGTTAATGGATTTAACCCCAAGATTGTTTTGTTCTTGACTTCCAGGTGAGTGATGAAATGGTCGTGGAGCTCATTGAGAAGAATTTGGAGACGCCTCCATGCAAAAATGGTTTTCTTTTAGATGGCTTCCCTCGGACTGTGAGGCAGGCAGAAATGGTGAGTGGCTTGGTTTTGTATGACCATTGCATGAAAGCAAATCCTGGCCCTCTATCTCTTTATTCCTTTGAGGGAAATGGGTCTTATCAAGCTCTGGTAGCTTAGGTGGGCCACACGCTTTTTTACAGCTTGATGACCTCATGGAGAAGAGGAAAGAGAAGCTTGATTCTGTGATTGAATTCAGCATCCCAGACTCTCTGCTGATCCGGAGAATCACAGGAAGGTATTTGTCCCCTGAAGGTCCCTTCTTTTCATGCTTCCTCAGAGCTTTGTCAGACGACAGGAACTGCTCCGGCCTAATCCCAGCCATGAAGCTTAGTGCCGTTTCCACATGGATTGACCTTATGTGGTGACATGGGATGGGGATGTGGAAGGAAGAGCAAGGGATCTGAAGTCCAGCAGCAACTCAGTCCTGTCACCTTTTAACTCTGACCCTAGGCAAGTTTCTTAACCTCTCTAAGGCTGTTTCCTCATATGTAGAGAGGAAGTAATAGTACCTGCTTCGAGGACCCATTGTGCATGGTAGATAGCATGTTGTGCATATTTCAGAGCCTTGCTTACCTGGGTCCTTAAGAAGTACTAAATTCCTGGGCTTCCCTGGTGGCGCAGTGGTTGAGAGTCCTCCTGCCAATGCAGGGGACACGGGTTCGTGCCCCGGTCTGGGAAGATCCCACATGCCGCGGAGTGGCTGAGCCCATGAGTCATGGCCGCTGAGCCTGCACGTCTGGAGCCTGTGCTCCGCAGTGGGAGAGGCCACAGCAGTGAGAGGCCCGCGTACTGCAAAAAAAAAAAAAAGAAATACTAAATTCCTTACATCTGTATCTCCATTTTAGTGCTTTTTAAGTCCGATTTCAGTTGAAGTTGCCATACCTTGCTGTAGGCTTTTTATTATAAAAATAATAGGACCATCTGCACAGTTTAGAAGATTGAGGAAAAACTTGCTCATGGTACAGCCAGCTTAGCGAATAACACTATAATTTTTTTGCATGTTTTGTTTTAAAGTGCTTATTTCTCTATAGTAGTTAACGTTGAACACAGAAATGCTTCTGCCTCTGATGAGTTTGCTCCTAAAAAGTGCCACTGCTTTAGGCTACAGTTTCCTCAGCCCTCTTTCACTACCACGCTACCATCTGCTTTATGCCTTCCAAAAATATGTGGGAAGCTCTCAACCACTAAGAGACCCTCCCATTCTTGTCCTTATTATGGGCTATATAGCTTTTTTTTAATCCCTCAGTCACTTTTTTAAAATTTATTTATTTATTTGTTTTTATTTTTGGCTGTGTTGGGTCTTCGTTGCTGTGCGTGGGCTCCCTCTAGTTGTGGTGAGTGGGTGCTACTCTTCGTTGCGGTGCGCGGGCTTCTCATTGCGGTGGCTTCTCTTGTTGCAGAGCACAGGCTCTAGGCACGCGGGCTTCAGTAGTTGTAGCACTGGGGCTCAGTAGTTGTGGCTCGTGGGCTCTAGAGCGCAGGCTCAGTAGTTGTGGCCCACGGGCTTAGTTGCTCCGCAGCATGTGGGATCTTCCCAGGCCAGGGCTCGAACCCGTGTCCCCTGCATGGGCAGGCGGATTCTTAACCACTGCACCACCAGGGAAGCCCCCTTAGTCACTTTAATGGAGCCTCAGGAAGGTGGTCAGCCTACCATCTTGAACCAGACTTCCATGACCATTATTTTTAATTGCTGCATGATATTTCACAGTACATGAACCATCATTTACTTAATTGTTCCCCGATTGTTGTACATTTGTGTTCTTCCAGTTTTGCATTGTTAAATTCATGCTTTGGCCGTCATAGTACATGTAAGTTTTTAAATTAAGGGGGCAGTGTTTTCTGATTATAAATGTTATTACTTTGATTTCCTAATGAGGTTGAACCTTTTTCTCCATGTGTCTGCAGTCCATATCTTTAAGGAGAGAGGCAGCAGAGTAAGTGTTAGAGGTGTTCTCCTGGAAGGCTGTGTTAGATACAGTGAGATCCACCTTATATTAATTTTCTTTTCAAATGTCCAGGTTTCATGTTTCCAGCTAGTGCATAGGCTCCTTCAGTGCAGGAATTTTGTTTCTTTGCTCTGGCACAGAGTAGGCAAGCAAAGTTGATGTAGTCCAAGAAGCAGTAGGGTTGACAAGAAGGGACATGACCAGGGCTGGGGTCCCGGACATTGCAAAGCAGATGTTAATAGTACTAGGTGACACGAGGGGCCTTTGATCTGATCGGCTCAGCTTCCTAAGGGCCTGCTTTGTGCAGGCACAGCTCTGGGAGCAGGGGACCAGTAGAGAATATAGAACAATATGCTGGTGCCCATGTCTGACCTCAGAGCGTCTACAGTCCCTACGTGAAACCTGGGCTGTTTAGTGCAGTAGGGGTCCAGGAAGACAGCCTGGGGGCAGGGAGGGAAGTCTGGCTAGGACAGGTGTAAAGTCTGAGGCTTTCCCATAAGGGAGTGGAGGCAAGAATGAGTATGCATTGAGGGAGAGGCTCTAGCTAAGGCTTCTGGCAAAATGTCTGTCCAGAGCTGGAGAAATGGCCTGGGAGGCTGGGTGGTAGAATGAGTGCGGTTGGGAAGGTGGAATGGGAGCCTGGCTGGGGAAAGTCTGCCAAGGAAGAGACGGTAGACATGACTGAGTCAGGAATCATGGGATGTTCTTAAGCCACTAGGCGTTGTGGCAGATACAGCATTTTGAGAACATTAGCTTGGTCCTGGTATACAGGCTAAATTGAGGGAAATAAGAAACAGACAAGGACCCTACTTGGAGGAGCCTGATGTGATCCACCAGTGAAGTGATAGAGACTGGGGTTGGCTGGTGGGGCACTGAGAGATTCTGAAGAACAAACTCCAGAATTGTAGAGGGCGAAAGAGGCAAGACTCGGTCTCTCGGTTTGGAAGTGAGTGGTGTAGTGTGGCCCTCTCCCTTACAGAGGAGGAAACAGAACAGGTCAGACTGTGTAAAGGTGTTTTTCCAAGCCCACTTGCATATCAGTGGCAGAACTAGCACCAAAAACCTGCTTTCTGCCTCCTCGTCCACTATGCTGATTATTGCAAGAAAAAGAGTCAGGAACTAGCCAGTTTAATATGGATCTTATTTAAATCTGACATGATAAGGACCCCACTGTAAATGTCTTCAGAATTGGCTCTGACCTCACTTCTATGGGTTATTATTTTATTTCTTGCCATAAGTATGGCTGGTGGATTTTGATTTTAACCTATTCAGTGTTGGCTCTCTGGTATCATTAGCCTAATGTCTTGTACCATCCCCATTTTGTGGATGAGAAAACAGGTGTCTGAAGTATCACACCCAAGGTAGCAGTGGCTGTAGCATCCCAGCCTGATCCCTCCACATCTTCACCTCCACATCCAGGCCAGGCTCAGTGGCTTGTAGAGCTGTTTTGGTTGGTACTTAAGACCAGTCCCATTTTAAGAACTTGGAGATTGGTTTCTTTTCCCTTCTAGGGAATGAGTCTTGCCTTCTTCTTAAAATGATACTTGGAAGTGGGGAAGGAGCAGTGTTATATGTAACTGGAGGGCTGAGGGAATCTGGGAATGCGCAAGAGCTGATGTAGAGACATGGAGAGGAGAGAATTGTGTTTGTTGCAGCCTGGCTGCTATGTGCCCTGTGCTTTCTAGAAGGTGAAGAAACAAGGTCCAGGTACTTCCCTGGCGATCCAATGGTTAAGACTGCACACTTCCACCGCAGGGGGCATGGGTTCGATGCTGGTTGGGGAGCTAAGATCCTGCATGCTGCACAGCATGGCCAAAAAAACAAAACGTGGTCCACACTTCATGCCCCCAGCCCTTCCCAAAGGAAGGCTGTAGCTGAGCCCCGCAGCTTCTGCTCGTCCTCTCCTTGGGTCTCCTAGTGGGTGTCATTTCCCAGTGGATGCACCAGATGAACCCCTCCAGCAACTGAAATAAAGGAGGGCCCAACCTCGTGTTACATGATTGCAGTCACAGGCCCACTCAGTGTAACTTACTCACTCTGCTATCAATTTGTCCCCCATGCTGTAAATGGACCACCTTATTCTATAAATGGACCACTTGGCCCCCCAAAATATGCTGTCATTAAAACACAGTATCACATTTTACAAACGTGTGGCTTCGATAGTCTAACCCAGACTTTCCCAACTGATGTGCTGAGATATTGACCCCCTCAGCCACCAGAGCAAGCACGCTGAGTACTTTCTGTGTATGCCAAGAGGTGAAAAATGTTGGGAAGCTCTGGCCTAACAGACTGTCATGAGGAGAGTAGCCATCAGTTAAATAAGCAGACCTTGGTTGGCATAGAATTGGGAAGCCACGTGAAGTTGCGGGCACCAGCTGCCGAGCAGTGTTTGGCCTGCCTCCTTTCCTTCTTAGGTTTCAGGGCTCCTGTGGTGTGACCACTCCCAGTCAGGAGCGTGGGCTTGTTGCTTAAGGGGACACAGCAGAGATGCAGCTGCCAGCTACATATTCTGTGCCAAGTAAATGCTTCTTCTTGAGCTCTTTATTCTATGACTTAATATGTTGTTTTCCCTGATGCGTTGAATATTTCCCTCTGATGGCTGGGCCTTCTGTGTCTGTGTGGTCGCAGAGGTGTTCAGCATTGTCTACTGATGTCTGCATCCATAGCCCATGTTTTTCCTATAGCACCTTTCTGGTTTTATAACCAAACTAGTTTAGAAAATAAGGTTAGTTTCTCTGTCCCCCGTGGCACTTTGTCCAAATCTCTGTTAAAGGATTACCAAATTTATTGTAGTTATTTATTTCCACATTTGTCTCCCCCTCTAAATTAATCACTGTTTGTGAGCAGGGATCGTGACTCGTTGCTCTGTAGCCCCTGAATTCAGCTTAAGGCCTGAATTGGAATGGTCTCACACAGCCGAATTAGGCTGTCATTATACCAGCCTCTTCAGCCAGACACGTATTTTAATGTTGGGTCAAAAGAGAAAACAGGGCTTCCCTGGTGGCGCAGTGGTTGAGAGTCTGCCTGCCGATGCAGGGGACACGGGTTCGTGCCCCCATCCGGGAAGATCCCACATGCCGCGGAGTGGCTAGGCCCGTGAGCCATGGCCGCTGAGCCTGCGCGTCCGGAGCCTGTGCTCCGCAATGGGAGAGGCCACAACAGTGAGAGGCCCGCGTACCACAAAAAAAAAAAAAGAGAAAAAAAAGAGAAAACATACTCCCTCTGGCGTATGCCCAGTTATTTTCCTAAGCAAGAGATTCCTATAACGAGGTTCTCTGCTGGATTAAAGTCCTTGCATCCAGCTTCTCTGTCTGTGCTTGTCATCTTGGAGACCCCTGGGGTTCCGGCAGCCTGATTCCTGTTCATTTGCTATCTTACAGACTGATTCACCCCGAGAGTGGCCGTTCCTACCACGAGGAGTTCAACCCCCCAAAGGAGCCCATGAAAGATGATGTATGTAAATTCAGGACGGGAAGTTTCCTTTTCTTTCCTTCCTCTCTCTTACTTCGCTTTTTTTTCTTTTTTCTTTCTTCCCTTTGTTCTTCCCGTTTTCCCTTTATTCCTACCAATATTACGAACTTAACCATGAGAAATATTGCTATCACGTAAATCACATGGGCTGTGGCTCATCTTTAGTGTGTCCCTGCAAGGGGTTTATTGCTTGACCTTGAGGTAGCCACCAGTGCCAGCCACTTCCCAGTGCCCAGTTTGTACCTGTCTTTTGTCCAGAGCAGCCCCTTCCTGGCATCATGGCAACCTAAATGGTGAACTAATCAGGAGAAGGCTGCTTGGAAGCCCCGGATTAGAGCCACGGTTGGAAGGACAGTAGTGAAGAGATGTTTGTTGACCAGTCCTGCTTCAGAAGAATGTCTTCTCTCTCTAGTGACTGTACTGTACCCTACAGATTCGGAAGAGCTTGGCCAGGTTAACACTGCCAAGTTCCTATGGCAGTCTTTAATTGTTTGCAGATGTAAAAGGGGGGTCTCACACTGTAATATTTGCCATAAATAGTTCACCTTGTCTGTTTTAGAACACGCAGGCAACAGTAAGAATTTCCTGGATTTACCTTTGTCATGCGAGACAAGTTCATCAGGTCGTACAGGTTCCAAAGCTATCTGGCAACTTCGTCACGTTTCACAGAGTTGGCAGTTCTGTCACTCAGTGTTCCCTGTCACTTGCCACTTTCAGAATGTTAATGACCAGCACCCCAGTGAAAACACTGAATACTTATGCAGCTAAGATCCTAACTGCTACTGCATCTGTGATTTTGATGTATTCTCCTGGTCTCAGGGGCCTCTGTCTTTCTTGTTTCTCACCCTAGAAGTGTTTGTCTTGGAAGCTGAACAGCCTGAGCACAAGCCATGAGAGAAAGACCTTGTCTGTCCCCCTGTCTCAGCCCTTTCCTCACTGTTGCTGTTTCAGACTCCCTGATTTCTCTGGACCAAGTGGTCTGCTCCTGGGACCAACTTGCTGGGAATAGTGAAGTTCTTTATAGTTCTTTATTGGAGGGGGTCTAGAAGGTCTTGTCTTTCCCTCTGATGGACTTTGGGATCAGACAGCATCTCAGATCTGCATCCAGCGTTGGATTAGGAGAACTTGCTGAGTCCTGGCCTTTCATCCCCCTCTTCCTGTTCTCAGATCACCGGGGAACCCTTGGTCCGCCGATCAGATGATAATGAGAAGGCCTTGAAAATCCGCCTGGAGGCCTATCACACTCAGACTGCCCCGCTGGTGGAGTACTACAGTAAACGGGGGATCCACTCTGCCATCGATGCATCCCAGACCCCTGACGTTGTGTTTGCAAGCATCCTAGCAGCCTTCTCCAAAGCCACATGTAAAGACTTGGTTATGTTTATGTAATGTTGGGTCCAAAAAGGAACTTCTTTCTTCTTCCTATCCCTGTTGAAGGAGTGGGTGGGAATGGCAGAGCAGGCAGAGGGAAGCTTCTTCAGGCCAGCAAGAGTATCATTTGATGTACTGATTAAAAAAGCACTTGCTTCATGTATCTTTGGCGTGTGTGCAACTCTCATCTCATCTGTGTGTGTGGGCGTGTGTGCGTGTGCAAATGAGTGTGTTGGTATAAGTATGTGTACACTCTCCTACTTTCTAAGTTGTAGGCAAGATTGCTTTACTAGCTGTTTATTTCTTTAGCCATACTCTAGATTTTATTTTTTGACCAAAATAAACTAACTCAGGTATCTACCAGGCATTCCAGTTCCCTAGTATTTTTTCCATCTCCAACAGCTCATTAGAAGTCCTGGGTCACATGAAGTCAGGCAGGGCCACAGTTCCTAGTGGCAGACTGTTGGCCAGAAATTCCATTTGTTTTCTCACCCGTAATGAAAAGCCAAATGAGTCAGTGTGTGGAAAGGGATCATTAATTTTTTTCCCCCTAAACAGGAAGGAAAAGGCGCTTACATTATAGATTCCAGAAATTAACTGGGAGAGGGTATCAGCATAGAAAGAGCCAGGCCAAGTTGGAATATTTCTGTGAACTGCACCATGGTTCTGTAAAGTAGGAATCATCTGGGACCTGTGTTGAATACTGAATTGCTGCCAAAGAATTAAACCAGGTGAAAGGTCCTTTTGAATTTAGACAGTCTTCTGAACATCCAGGCTGGGCATCTGAGGGCAGCCAGTCCACTTCCCCAAAGAGAGACCAGGGTAGGTTTGTTTTTATTTTTAATGTTCGCCTCTGTTTCCAAGTATGAACAAAACAGTGATTTGAGGATCATTTTGGGATCATTTTGATTAGAATTTATTCAAACCCAATCTCTCTGCAGGATGTGAAACCCAAATCAGATGTATCCCTTTTAAACTCAAACCATCTCCCTTCCAGATCCAATCCTTCACCCCTTACGTCATGATGGTGGTGGCCAGTCTCCCCAAGAAAGGATCACCCCAAAAATAAGATCACCTATGGCAGTAACCAGTTTTTATTCCTAACCTCAGCTCCCAACTACTAAACATTTCCTGAGGTCCGTGCTGTGCCTTTTGGTCTCTGGTTTGATTTGGGGCAAACAGATGAATTAATAGACTGCTGTGAGGGACCACAAAAACAGCAGCCTCTGGAAAAAAACCATGAAAAAAATCAGTGGCAGGTCCAATAAATAATGCCACCTGCCCATTGTAATCTGCTGACTCAGTTTAGTGGACTATAAAGTGCCCAGTCCCCATCTGACGTGAGTTCTCCTGCTGTCTGTGGGCCCGCCAGAGGTTCTGTCCTCTGTCCCCCTGGAAGCTGGCTATGGGTACAGCTTGCAGGTGGACAGAGTGGCCATCTCGTGTCCCTCTTTGTCTGCTTCAAGTGAGTGTCTGCTGACTCTGCTCTGCCTTGTTTCCCTGGCTGTAAACTAACTCCATCCATTCTCAGCGGAAACCCAATCTGGCACGGGGTGTTTCTGGGAAGCACATGACTTCTGGGAATGGACAAGGAAGGGCAGTGAAACCAAAACTGTCAGCTCTGTCTGTGGGGATCTGGGCTCCTTCTGTGGGTGAGGGTGGCCTCGTGAATCTTGGAGTCGACTCCTCTTCAAGTAGGGACAGTTGCAGGCATTTGGCCTCAAAGGTGAGGTCCTTGAATGTTTGCTGATAGAGTGTGCATGATCCTTACTCAGATATTTGTCATCTATCTATATGCATTCACGTGTGCACACACGTGCGTGTGATTTTTGGGCTATCAGTGAAAACTGGAAGATCGTCGGGGTTGCATATGCCCTTTTGGGGGTAGGTACGATTCAATTTTTGCTTCATTTAATTCCAGAACCTTAACCTCAGCAGGCATGAGAGCTTTCACCTGGCAGAGAAATGTCCAGTGTTTAATGCATTTGGTTGCCGGGGCGTGCATGCCAAGCTTCTCTGATATTTACTTGGTTTTTAAAAACCCATTTTGTTCTCTCTTGTTTCCTCTCTATTTCAGCCTAGTAACAGAAGGCCAGGCGAGACTGCACCACTGCTCATCACCCTGCGGCGTGATCCCTGCTCTTAGGTGCTGGGCAGAGGGGAGGGGTGGTCAGGGTAAGGATGGAGAGGGCGGAGTGGTGAGGGCTCAAGAGGAGAATGGGAAGAGCAGCAGTGCTGTAGTGAAGCAACTTCTGTTCCATGGAGTAGGAGCCTTAAAAAGTACAAGCAAAGGGAAAAATTGATTTTTTAGAACACTGATTGGAGGGTATAAATAGAAATAGGGAGATGCAGTATTATTTCTAAGGAATCACGTTGTCATTTACTCCAGACTGGTGACGATATTTTTTAAAGCCAGTGCCCTAAGACCTCAGCTTTTATCAGAACCTCATGCCAGCCCAGGAATGCCGGAAATCACACCGTTGTCCTGTCTGTCCTGTAGTTTGGAACAGGGCAGGAGTTGACTACTAACCCTGGTTCCCCATACCATGAGATCAAAAAGTCATCTCCCCATTCGAAAGAGATACAGAGTATGTTCGTGGGGGTAGTGGCTCAGCAAATCAGGTTTACTGGAGTCCTGGGGCAGGTGGAGCAGGCTGGTCTCACTCCCCTCCCAACTTACCACTGATGTGCCAGCCCGCCGGCTCTCGTGGGTAAGCTCTCGACAGCCACCCAGCATATGCCACAGCCCTACACTCTTGCCTTCCTCCACCCATGTCGTGTGAAAGGACCCTTTTTAATAAATGAGCAAGTGTCCTAAGCGACCTTATCCAAAGATTGTCCTTTCCATCCTCAAATCCTGTGACTGGGATCACTCAACAACACTGTGATGTATTATTTTCAATGAGGTGCCTTTCTTAACTGTCCAAATGCTGCCTTGTTTGGCCCCTAAATCAATAAAGTGTGTTAAATGTTTGTATCCCCTGTTGTGGCAATTTTTTAAGGGGATGTGGGCCAGTAAAATGACTGAATTCTGGATCTGACATTGAATTCTGGATCTTGTGGTCACTGGAAGTCGTGAGAAGGCAGGAAGGTCCAAGCATATGTTCATCAGAAGAGCCTGCACCCTCTTGACCTTCAGCTGATTTGCAGGATTTTCTTGAGCCCAAGGACAAGGCAGCTTGGTCTAGTGGAGACCAGCACTGTGCTTGGAGTTCAGGGGATGTACGACAAATCCCAGCCAATCATTTACTCTGCTCCTGTTTCCCATGTGAAAAAGAGACCGGTGATGCCACCTTCTCGGACTCATTGGCAATAAATGAAATTTACAAGAAGAAGCTTTTTGCTTGGTGCCTGACACACAACAGACACTGGATAAATGCTAGTTGGAACCGAGGATACACAGAAAAAATATCTGCTTCTTGCCAGGCTGGATGATTATTGAGCAGACAGTTGTCCGCAGCCTAGAAAGCCGGAGCTTCTAATCCCTAAGCCAGATTCTTGGCTGCCTTTTCAGCTGCCTCTTTAATATTCTTGGTTGCTTTGTAAATCCATTTCTTCCCCTGCAAAAATGAGCTTAAATCATTTGTCCAAACTGAAGCTCTCATGCTGTTTGGAAGGGCTGCCTTTGCTAGTGAGGTTTCTGAAAAATGACAGCTGTCCTGAAAACAGAGGAAGCTGGGCTGGAAGCGCTGTCCTTCTCCAGGCAGGTGCTCTTGCCCTGGAGAGAGGCAGGGCTGTCCCTGGCATATGAAATCTTGCCCCCTCTTCCAACTCCTCCCTCTTCTGTTCCACCACTTCCCCCACCTCTACAGAGTCATTTTCAGGTGTCAGCATGACTTATTTGTCCTGACCTTTTCATCCCCTGAGGTATTTAAATGCTCCATGAAAATTTTCTTCCCTTCCGTGATCATCGTGCAACAAACTGGGGGCAATCTTTGTCAGAGCAGCCTGGGAGCACGCATAGTATGGTTGGAAAGGATAAATTGAAAGAAGACCGGGTGAGCTGTTATTCACTCACTTCTTTGGGCTTGGTCTCCTCATCTGGAAACCGAGATTGGCTGAGGTAAGAGTCGCCACTGTGCAGGGAGGGCTGACAACGCCAGCTACTGCGCAGTGGCCTCACACCTACAACCCCACAAAGCACCCTAGGCAGTTGGAGGTGTCTTCTCCTATCACACTCGAGGAAGCCTAGCCTCGGAGTGGTGGTCACATTCCTGAGGGCAGCATAAGAAGCAGAGTTGGAACTCAGTCTCTGACACCGGAGTCTCCCCTTGACCTTGTTGCTGAAGTGATTGAGTGACTTGGCACTGCTGCAGCAGAAAGGGCTCCTCCGGATGGGTTCTTTTTTGCGGACGCCCACACCCCCAGAGCTGATTTGGGGGAAATCATTGCCAATCTGAGGACCCAAGGTGTGTGCTTAGGATTTCGTGTGCATGAAATGTCGCAGACAGGACAGAGCAGGGTGAAGAGCAGCCTTGGTCCTCAGGAAGCCTCGCCAGCCTTTTCTCAGAAAGACAGCTGAATGAGTCAGAAGACAGATTTCAGCAGCAACTCCTCCACCGCCAGCCCTCTGGCAAGTTACGGCACCTCATCAGTTGAATGGGAATGATCCCCACCCCTCAGATGTGCTGACAACACTGGTGACCAAGACATTCACGCGGGCCAGGATGCCCGGCACACAGCAGGTGCTCAGTGTATGCTGATGGGGTTCAGAGAGAAAATGTGTGTGTTGGCAAGAGCTGTTGTCTTCCTGACTCAGGAACCAGGCTAGGTTAAGGATTCTTTTTTTTTTTTTTTTTTTTTATTTAGGTATACTTGATTTACATGTTGTGCCAGTCTCTGCTATACAGCAAAGTGACTCAGTTATACACATAGAGACATTCTTGTTTTATATCCTTTTCCATTATGGTTTATCCCAGGAGACTGGATGTAGTTTCCTGTGCTCTACAGTAGGACCTTGTTGTTTATCCATTCTAAATGTAATAGGTTGCATCTACCAACCCCAAACTTCCAGTCCATCCCTCTCCCTCTCCCCCCTCCCCCTCCCCCTTGGCAACCACAAGTCTGTTCTCTATGTCTGCGAGTCTGTTTCTGTTTTGTAGATAGGTTTATTTGTGCCGTATTTTATTTTATTTTTATTTTTTATTTTTGCAGTACACGGGCCTCTCACTGTTGTGGCCTCTCCCATTGCGAGCACAGGCTCCGGACACGCAGGCTTAGCGGCCATGGCTCACGGGCCCAGCCACTCTACGGCATGTGGGATCTTCCCGGGCCGGGGCACGACCCTGTGTCCCCTGCATCGGCAGGCGGACTCCCAACCACTGCACCACCAGGGAAGCCCTATTTATTTTTTTTAATTAATTTATTTACTTATTTATTTTTGGCTGTGTTGGGACTTTGTTGCCGCACGCAGGCTTTCTTTAGTTGCAGCAAGCGGGGGCTACTCTTCCTTGCGGTGCGCAGGCTTCTCATTGCGGTGGCTTCTCTTGTTGCAGGGCCCGGGCTCTAGGCGCCCGGGCTTCAGTAGTTGCGGCATGTGGGGTCAGTAGTTGTGGCTCACAGGCTCTAGAGCACAGGCTCAGTAGTTGTGACCCATGGGCTTAGTTGCTCCGCGGCATGTGGGATCTTCCCAGACCAGGGCTGGAACCCGTGTCCCCTGCATTGGCAGGCAGATTCTTAACCACTGCACCACCAGGGAAGTCCCCTGTGCCATATTTTAGGTTCCATGTATAAGTGATATGATTTCCCCTGTGCCATATTTTAGGTTCCATGTATAAGTGATATGATATGGTATTTGTTTTTCTCTTTCTGACTTACTTCACTTAGTATGATAATCTCTGGTTGCATCCATGTTGCTGCAAATGGCATTATTTCGTTCTTTTTTCATGGCTGAGTAGTATTCCATTGTACATATGTATACCACATCTTCTTTATCCATTCGTCTGTTGTTTGACATTTAGGTTGTAAGGATTCTTTTTTTTTTTTTTTTTGCGGTACGTGGGCCTCTCACTGTTGTGGCCTCTCCCGTTGCGGAGCACAGGCTCCGGACGCACAGGCTCAGCGGCAAATGGCTCACGGGCCTAGCCGCTCCTCGGCATGTGGGATCTTCCCAGACCGGGGCATGAACCCGTGTCCCCTGCATCGGCAGGCAGACTCTCAACCACTGCGCCACCAGGGAAGCCCTGTAAGGATTCTTAACCTGAAGATCTCCTAGAAGTCTGTGGACCTCTGAAATTGTATGCAGAATTCTTGTTTTTGTATTTTCATAATGAGGTTCCGCATACATTATCTTATTTATTCTTCTCAATAACCATGTGGAAGTAAGTACTATTATTATCTCCATCTTATGTCTATGCATTTTGAGGCTCATACACCTGTGAATGGCTGAGCCTGGTCCGTGGCTCCACACCTCAGCCTCTTGCCACCGTACCAATTGTTTTGACACTTTGCTGGGAGAAGGGAAAGATTCTCAAGGCACTCGTGCGATATGGAGCAGCCTGAATGAACAGAGCAGAATTCGAGTAGGTTTGCTCTGTCACAGTGAAGGGCCTGGGTCAGGAGTGCTGCCTCAGGGTAAGGCCGTTTTCTGTGTCGTTTTTCTTTCTTGCTTCCTTGCTATGGGCGTGAAAGCACCAATGTACTGGATTTGCAAAGCTCGTAGAACCACCCCTGGTCCAGAAGGCTGAGTTGCTGTGGGAGAGAGGAGTCAGTTCCCCCCCGGTTCTGGAAAGGGTGGCAACAGGAGGCTCTGCCTCACGGTCGTCCCTCTCAGGCTGCAGCTTCATACGTCTAATGGCATTGCGTTATTCATAACCCCAGAGGGAGTGCTGTGCTCCTGACATCTTGGGAATGTGGCAGCTCTGTGTTTAGAGTCATCCAGGGCAATGTGATGGTGAGCTGCTCTCACAGAATGGCCTCTTTCAGGTGCCCAGTCTGGATGAGCTGCCCCCAGCAGAGAGCAGAAGGGAGGAGAAAGACAAGGTGTCAGAGGGCAAGGGCAAGACAAGAGTTAAGCTCCGATACTGTGCCGGTAACTCAGGCTGAATAGATCTGCACTTTGGGGGTAAAATCTCTGTAGAGCAAATTATTACATTGTACGGTGTCCCTTAAAGACTTTTAAGACAAGTCGCTCTTGAGTTTAGAGCTAGGAGATACTTTTGCTTCCTATTTAGCAGGTCTGCATTCTTCTACTAGGTAAGAAATGCTTCATTTTCTACTGTTTCCTTTCTGCCCTGGCTGTGAGGAAGCTCGCCTTATGTTCACTTGCTATGCTTTCCTCTGCCATGGTTTCTTAATAAAATTCTTACTCCACCTCATCCGAACTCCACTGTTGTAATTTTAGTTTTTTTGTGCTCGGATGTGTGTTGTAAACTGCCTTGAGTCTATTTTGGAAAAGAAGTGGGGAGTGGAGAAAGGGCTAATTATGTGGCGTAGGAGGTCAGACTGCAGAGAAGAAGGTAGCTTCGTGGAGGAGGTGGATCAGGGTGGCTTGGTGGAGGGAGGATGGGCGTTCCAGGCAGAGGGCACGGCCCGAGGGAAGGTACAGAGACCACTGGTGCTCACTGGCAGCTTTTACCTAGTGAGTCCCTAGAATTCTTGGGAAATCTACAACTGGTTGGAAATAGTGTTTTTCAAACCAAGCATAGGGACCACAGAAGGGAAGTTTTTCAGCTCAAGAGTAGTGTCGAGGGACTTCCCTGGTGGTCCAGTGGCTAAGACTCCATGCTCCCAATGCAGGGGGCCTGGGTTCGATCCCTGGTCAGGGAACTAGATCCCACATGCCACAACTAAGAGTTGGCATGCCACAACTAAAGATCCTGCACGCGGCAATGAAGATCCCGCATGCCGCAACTAAGACCTAGCACAGCCAAATAAATAAATATTAAGAAGAAGAAGAAGAAGAATGTCGAGAACACAGAAGAGCAGGAAACAAGGACATGTACACATAGGGTTGAGAGCCCACCGTAAGCTTAGCCC